ATCAGTCTCTTCTCTGTAAGTCAACATTTACCTGTCCACACTTTAGGTTTATTCCTCTAGTCCAGGGACGGAAAATGTCTGGCCCACGGGCTGTAGATGGCCATAGAAATCCTTAGGTCTGGCTCTGCCAAGGCCTTACCAAAGAGAAGCAGTTCCAGCCATCACATTAGGGGTGAATTAATTAAATGTCCAACTATGGCAGGCTACTTTTTAAGTTGATAATTTTGTATGGCCGGTGAATGCTGTTATAAAGATCCAAATGGCCCTTGGCAAAAGAAAGGTCCCCCACCCCTGCTCTATTTCTTCATTCAACAAATAGCTATCGGGAGAGTTCTCTATGCGCTACAACGCTGCAGGAGCTGTGGGAGTCACAGAGATACTTAGTTTGCATTTTATAGAACACTTTCAATTCTATTCTGTACTGTGACATGCCAACGGTAAATAAAGTTTGTACCGGGAAAAGAAGTAATTTGCTAAAGCATGCAAGGTAAGTAATCTGAGCTAGTTTTCCTTTTACATTTCTTTGGTAGGAACTATAACTTTTATAGTTCTTCACTTTTATCAGTAGGCAAATTTGCTGATTCCAGGTCTTCTTTCATCTATTTCTAATCCTGTAAAGCTTTAATCGCAAGGCTTTCTGGACACTAGGCGAGCCAGGAAGCTGGGCACGTGCAGATGGGAATTTGGGGTGAAACGTTCAATCGCTCTTTGCAACGTATTTGCGCAGAAAGGTGATTCTAGAGCAAGGATCAGTTCTAGGGACCGGTGTCATAAGAATCATAGAAAACAGGTGTTTTCAATGGGGAATGGTGCTTCTTTTCACAACCTCCTTGTGGTTTTGGTAAAACTCTGACCACTGTCGAACCTCTCAAATCCCTTCTTTATGAAATTGTCAAGTGCCCTTCAGGTCTCAGACACGCAGCACTACAAAGGTAGGAGGGGAACTATTACGGGTAAGGACCAGCACTCGGGGGCCTACAAACGCCAAAAAAGTCTGCCAGGGATGCCAAGTCCCCGCCATCTCTACTGGGACCCCGCATCCACTCATCACATGTCCCAGTCGGGATATAAGAAGCAGACACTCTTGTCAAGGCTCTGCCGAGTAGAGGCGGGGGCTGAGTTTATCCATCAACAACCTCAAGCTTACGCAGGCAAATGCGGCTCTTAGAACGGACTGAGCTTTGGAGGGGCTGCCTGATGACAACCCCGCCCTTCCTCTGTGTACTTTTGAATGGTTTAGAGACTGTCGCTCTTAGCAGAGGTGGGCCCTTGCTTTCCCAAGCCGAACCACAAGCATGTATGGGAACAAGACAAGTCATCAATTGTCATTCTGACGTGAGGATTCTGAATTGGGTTCAGTCCTCTTTTTTTTTTTTTTCTGTCTCATTGTAATACACTGTTTTGTAAAACGCATAAACGTTTTCTTAGAAATTTCTTAGTCATGTCTTTGCTGTAGACATCTAGAGGAAAATTAACAAAAAAACTGCTTTTAAAAAGCAATATTCCTGTTAATTTTATCAGAAAAGTTATTTCTGAAGCACTGGTTTGTTAAAACATGGTATTATAAACACATATGTATATGTATAATTGTGAGGTCCATATTGGCTAAAGTATTTAAAAATGCTTTTTGTAATAGTTGCCTTTACTGTTAACTTATCTAGAGGAAAGATTCAATAGACATACGTTAACTATGTTAAGCCTTGGCTCATGTGGCTCAGTTGGTTGGGTGTCGTCCTGTGCACTGAAAGGGGCTGCTGGTTTGATTTCTGGTCAGGGCACATGCCCGGGTTGCAGGCTCCATCCCTGTTAGGGGGGATGCGGAAGGCAGCCAATTGATGTTTTACTCTCACATTGATGTTTCTCTCTCTTCCTCTCCCTTCTTCTCTCTCTAAAAATCAATTAAAAAAATCTTTAAAAAAATAAAATAAATATGATGTGTCCTGAGTCTGTATTAGTGAAAATATGATTGAGATTTATTTAATTATACACTTTTATTCTTTAAAACAATGCTTGCCCATTATAGTCACAAGACTGGCCTGCCAACTCCACCTCTGAGCCTCTGCACTGATTCCTGAGTAATCCTGAAGCTCTCAGAGGGGTTTGTTACTAGAGAAACGGGTCTTTGAGAGCCATAGTTTAAAAAAAAGGTAAAAATCTCAAATTTATTTATACTAACTCTACCAATGGAGTATATCACTTTCTCTAATTTTCCAAACTTGGTAAAATTCATTTGTAGCCCATAAGATACCAGTGTATCTGCTGCAGGAAGGTCTTGTGTCAGTAGTGACTACACGGTAAACTTCTGTGCAGTGTCGAGTCCTGGGAACAAATGACACATTAAAAAATGGCCCACAGAGCAGACTTGAGTCTTGGACTGTACCCCAAACTCATTTCTCTTTTCTCCACCAACACTATTACCCTTTGGTGAAGATCTCATGATCAGAGAAGCTCTCCTGCCCAGCCTCACCTGAGGGGACACTTCTGTCGTCCTTCAGCTTTGGCCTCCTTGGCAATATAGCCTGCTATCACTTCGAAAACAGCGCAAAGAAGTGCCTTCCATTAACTTCCAATTTATTCCTTCCCTATTGTGATCCTAAAGTTTTAATGTGATTCAGTTGAAAGGTATGTTTCTCTGAGAAAATCATGCTGCTGGGTAACATTCGTTTTATTAAAAGGTAATTTGTCAAAAAGAAAAGCAATTCGAGCAACCGGAGGACTGCTGTATGTGTAAGACCCAGCTCAGAAAGGTTGAACAAAAAACGTTTGTATATTGGGTCATTCTTTCTACTGAATTTTATTATAATTTTGGAGGTGTGCTCTTAAAGAAAATAGTTTTGCTTCAGCATCTTACTGTAAAAATCACACTAAGGACCTCAATATTCATTTCAGGACCATTTTGCATTTGTCAACATGCTGCTTCTTTGTATCTAATTCCCGCTATGGTTTGTGCAGTGAACAAGTAATGGAAGTGATTTTACACATTCCTTCATGGCAAAGTACATATACCACAAAATACACAGTGGCTAATATTCATTTCATCATGATCGACCTCTCAAAATACGACTGTTCAAACAGCACACTGCCTGGGCGAGTAGTCCACACGGTGGCTGGATGAGCTTACTTTTTCATATGCTTTCACAGCAACCAGCAATTCCTGATTTGCATTTAGTGGTACGGTTTTTCTAAGTGGTTTAGATTCTGCAGTAACTGATTATAAAAAGTTAAGCTCTTCTATTTGATAAGAATAACATGTGAATGGGCAGAGGACCTGAACAGATGCCTCTCCAAAGAGGACATACAGATGGCCAACAGCTATATGAAAAGATGCTCAACATCACTAATCGTTAGGCAAACGTAAATTAAAACCACAATGAGGTATCACCTCATACCTGTCAGAATGGCTACCATCAACAAACCAACAAACCAGAAGTGTTGGCGAGGCTGTAGAGAAAAGGGAACCCTCCTGCATTGTTGGTGGGAATGTAAATTGGTGCAGCCACTATGGAACGTGGTATGGAGATTCCTTGAAAAATTAAAAATAGAATTACCATATGACCCAGCAATTACACTTCTGGGTATTTATCCAAAACCCAAAACACTAATTCAAAAAGATATATGCACCCCTAGGTTCATTGCAGTATTATTTACAACAGCAAGATATGGAAGCAACCACAGTGTCCATCAATAGACAAATGGATAAAGAAGATGAGGTACATATATCACAGAATATTACTCAGCCATAAAAAGAATGGAATCTTGACATTTGCGACAGCATGGATGGACCTAGAAGGTATTACGCTAAGTGAACTAAGTCAGACAGAGAAAGACAAACACCATACAATTTCACTTATACGTGGAAGCTAAAAAACAAAACAAACAAAACAGAAGCAAACTTACAGATCCAGAAAGCAAATTGGTGGTTGCCGGATAGAAGGGGGGTTGGAGGCCTGAGTGGAAAGGTGAAGGGATGAAGAAGTACAGATTGGCAGTTATAAAAATAGGCACGTGGACGCAAAGCACAGCATACGGAATACAGTCAACAATGTTGCAGTAACTATGTGTGGTGTCACATGGATGCTAGGCTTACCAGGGTGATCACTTTGTAGGTTATATAAATGTCTAATCACTATGTTGTACACCTGAAGCTAATATAATATTGTGTGTCAACTGTGATTGAAGAATAAAAAGAAAAATGAAAAAGAATAATATTTACTGTGCTGATGTACTAATCAGCTAAGTCCATCGTAAATTAAAAAAAAAATTTTTTTTTAATCTTCACCCAAGGATATTTTTTCCCATTGCTTCTTCAGAGAAAGTGGAAGGGAGAGAGAGAGCCACACACTGATGTGAGAGAGACACATCAACTGGTGGCCTCCAGCATATACCCCTACTGGGGCCGGGGACTGAGCCTGCAATTGAGGTGCATGTCCTTGGCAGGAATGGAACCCGGGACCCGGGCTGACACTCTAGCCACCGAGCAAAACCAGCTAGGGCCGTTGTAAATGTTTTTAAAGTTCTTCTGTAGTGACAGGTCTCAAAATAGCCTTATCACACGCGCGCAAATGTAAACTCAAAGGGTTTATGCCTAAAACCAAAGCTGTAGCAGGTCCTCGAAAAGTCTGTTGCTAACATATTAGGTCGGCACGGAGAAGAATGTGAAACCTGAGGCCGAGCTAGCTTTGCCACGATGCAAACGGAACTTAGACCCTGGGGCTTCTCATTTCCATGAGTCCCCTCCAAGACCCCAAGTGTCATTTTGCCCTCTCAGGAAGAAGGAGCCAAAATTATAGAAGCTCCAGGATCCCTCAAAACCTGGATTCCGTTAAGACAAGTGTGGTAAAGGCCTGGGGGTGTGGTGGGAGCAGGGGGCAGGGGGTGAATGGGGTTGAAAAAGGGACTTCTGTAACACTTTCAACAATAAATTTAAAAAAGGATTATATTATTATTTTACATTATAGCAAAGTAGAATTATAATCAAAGTAGAATTCTGATGTACTTACTCAAAAAATGTCGTCCATCCAGTTTCATCGCTTTTGGTGGCTAAGAGACCACTGTTGCCATGGTAGGTAAACAAAACTAGTTCTAGCCCTTGAGCAGTCATGCTCTTCAGACACCCGTTGGTGCCAATGGTTAGCCATATCACCTGGTTGTCCGGAGACACCACTCGAACCGGCATCCGGTTCGGGTCCCGTCTGATCCTCAGGGTATTGCCATTGCTGTCGGTCACAGCGGTGATATCATTGTCATTGCTGTAGCTGAAGTTGTAGAGATAGTCACCAGTGACTAGACTCACAGTATACTGGTGGGTGCCATTGATGTCAAAGATATAGAGCTCTTGGTCAGTAGGAGAGGCAACTTCATAAAAGTTCATCGAGTTAAGTAAAGGCTTATTCTTGGACACAGCCCGGATCCGAATGTTCCCTAGATCCGCAATATACAGGGTGCCATCTGGGGAAGCAGCGAGGGACGATGGGGCACTAAGTTTGGCATCTTTGGCGTAGCCATCGCCACTCTGGTAGCAGTCACAGTTGGCATCGTTTTTGCAGTCACACTCCGAAGGTATCCCCGCAACCAAGGAGATCTCCCCATCGGTGGTGACCTGCCTTATGCGGTTAATCTTCTTTTCATCGGTTTCCGTGATGTACAGGACGCCACTGTAGGACACGGCGATGGCCGTGGCGGATTCCAGTGTGGTCTGGACTGCGTGCTTCCCCACGGAGTACTCCACGCCCGGAACCTGGCAGTGCATGGGCCGCCCGGCGGCGATGCGCACCTGGCGGTTTTCCGTGATCTGTAGAACTACGTTGTTATCCAGCACGTAAATGGAGTTGTCCATGGGGTTAATGGCGAGGTCCGTGGGCCACTCCAGACGCACCTTAACAGAAGGAAACGGTCTGGTTAGTCAGCGACTGCACGGCAGTTAATCTGCCAGAGAGTAAATTAGACCATTTGGGGAAATAACCCTTAATTTGATAAACTGTTTTAAAATTGTCTTTTGAATAGCTACAGAAAAATAAACTTGGAAAGGTTGAGTGAAAACAAATGTAGGAAACAGCATTTTATTTAAAGAATGCAGCTTACTGAAATGTTTGCAAGTTACAGCCAAATAGCTAATGAGCCTCTAAGTAGTGAGATAGCAGATATCAATGAGTTATGGACACATATGTCCCTTTAGCAGTAATAACCACCAAATGCCAGGGCATTCGACGTTGTAAATACATCCAGGTTCTGTTGTGTTTTCAATAAGGCCCATAGTAAAGTTCCTAATTCTAAATGTAAGTCCCTTGGGACTAATCATAGTGGGTTCTTGCTACTACCTAAGGAGCTCATGCAATCAAAAGATTAGAGATTTAAGAGGTTTTGTTCCTTCTGGAGTCTCTGCATGCTGCTACTTTACTGGTATTTTATTATCAATGCTTAGCATTTCCTGCAGATAACTGTTCTGTATCTCACCGAATTCATCAAATGCAGAACTACAGAATAACTTTTTACTTATTACACTGAAATAGGACAGCTTTATCACAAATACTGCCACCCATGATACATGCAGTTTGATATGGTGCCATCAGAGTCTACTGACACAGCAAATCAGGCCACTTAGAAGAAAACCAAATCATTGGCTGACTATGTTAACCACCTGGCTGATGTGCATGCTCGTGTCACAGGTTAAAGGTCTGGCTGACGTCAGATCATTGGAGCCCAGGAGAGTCGAGATGATTCCATTTTGATCAACTTTTCTGATCATGGTTCCATCAACGAAGTAGATTAATCCATTCTTATCAATTGCCATTCCTTGATCCAAAAGAAGCAAGTGTTAAGTTTTCAAAAATGATTACTTTGATTCAACTTCTAGGCCCATCACTAAACCCAACATTTAACCCCAGTGATAACATTGGAGATAGGTAGCAGGGAGGACTGTGGACTGCAAACACATTAGGAAAAACCCAACACAGGCTTTCACAAGACAAATAAATGTAAAATGTAATAAAGAAAAACCCAACTTTGTACGAATGCCCACTCTGTGTGTGAATCATATACCTAGTCCTTGTGTATTAAATATAAAACTGTAATATGTGTATATTGTTGTTGTCTATAAATTATAGAAATAGGTCAAATTCTGTTACACTGAGCTTAGAGCAACTAGCATATTCCATCAAAAATAGATCTAAGCTAAGGTTAGTGTTCTGTTGACCTTGTTACAATGAAATCTGCTATTATAAATAATTCAGTACAACAAATACTTTTTTCTAGACCTTGTTCACAAAATAGTTGCTAGCTATAATGAAAAAAAATAAAGCCCTCAACCAAAACACACTGTAATATGAATGGCATAATACATGAGCAAGGATCAGTCCCAACTGGTTTCAAAGCTAGAAACCTTCATCACATGGAATTTCAGCCCTTGTTACCTCCAGAAATTCCTCCCAGCAGCAGTTTTTCCCATGGCATAGAAACAAAAGCCTAATGGCTCCAAACTGGGTGAGGGTACTGGGGTTGCTTAGCGGTAGTTTTCAGAGGCCTGGGACTCACTCATGACAAAGAAATGCCAGGACAATGAAATAATTTGGGCACTTCTTTGATGTTTAACAGGATGTGACCTGAATAACATGGAGTAGCTGCTTTATTCTTCGAAATGTTGAAAAAAAAATGGTATGACAATAAAAAATGCCAAGAACCTAATATTTACTGTAAAATCAACTTAGGATTCTAGCAGTTTCATGCTAAAGGGCTTTTAAAAACACTACATGTGCAATAGCTTTCCAGAACACAGCTGGGGATAAAACGTCAGACTCAGCATTAAATACAACCAGGCACTAAAAGGATTTCCCCCCCCCCCCTTTTTTTTTTTTTAAAGAGATAAACAGAACTCCCCAAATTGGTAAATGTCAGTACCTTTGGGACTCATGAGGGTTGCTTCCACAGCCTTCCCCCCATCCCCACATCTAGCTTCATCGAATGGCAGGCACTGCTCCCCTGTCCCCGCAACCACTTCGGCATTTTTCGTCAAGTCCTTTGCCCCCGTAAGCGATTTTGGGCGATAAATTCTGCGAGTGTTAGTGTCCGAAACATACAAGTCTCCTGTGACGGGGTCGGTCGCTAGGTAGTATCTATGAGCTGGGTTGCTGCTGTAAGAAAGGATCACACATGAATGCCACAAGGGAGTTACTCCTGATACACAGAGAAAGTAATAAGCTAATCAGAGAAAGGCAAATATCACATGATCTCACTTACCTGTGGAATCTAATGAACAGAATGAATTGACCAACAAAGACAGACCCGAGGATAGAGGCATGGAACAGAATGACTTATCTCGGGGGGTATGGGGGACAACAAGAGATAAACCAAAGAACTTATATGCATATATGCCCAGCCCATGGATACAGACAATAGTGTGGGGAAGGCCTGAGGGGGGTGTGGGCTGGGTGGAGGGGGGCAATGGGGGGAGAAATGAGGGACACTTGTAATACTGTCAACAATAAAAATATAGCCTGGCTGGGTGTGGCTCAGCAGTTGAGCATTGACCTAGGATCCAGGAGACTGCGGTTCGATTCCCGGTCAGGGCATATGCCCAGTTGTGGGCTTGATCTCCAGTGGGGGGCGTGCAGGAGGCAGCCGATCAATGTCTCTCATCATTGATGTTTCTATCTCTCTCTCTCTCCCTCTCCCTTCCTCTCTCTGAAATCAATGAAGATACATTTAAAAAACATAAACAGAAAACAAAACAACAAAAATACATATATATATAAAAGCAAAACAGAGCTCATCATGAGAAACACTGTAACCTGCAATTCATTACCAAGGACTGGAAGGTGAACAGTGTACTCGATGTGACCAAGGAGAGACTTGAAAGATTGATAGCAATCTCTGATATGACTGTTCCTTCCTTACTTGTTGCTAAGGATTTATTAAAATAGCCATTCTCTCTCTCCCTCCCTCTCTCCACACACACACACAATTATATGCTTGTTTCCATTTATTCTATGTGTGCCTATCTAAAATATGTGGTATAAATCTAACTATATGACAATATTTATTCTAAATAAGGGTATACCAGCTTTCTCATTACTCGTTAGGTTTTAATGAAGCAATTCTCATTGCTCTTCCTTTTAAATGGTGAGCACAGGTACTTTATCGCTCCCATAAGATTCCATTGTTAAAATAACAGGTCTGGTTTCCACTAGTGATTCCCACACTGGTGGGGGGGCTCTGAAGGGCACACAGGGAGTCTGTAGAGACCTGCTGGATGTGATGACGGTGTACAGAGAAGTATGGAGAACACAAAGGCCAACTCCTTCAGCTCTGAGGTCTCCTTTCTAGTCTTTCGTATCTTCCAGGGACAAGGGANCGCTCCCATAAGATTCCATTGTTAAAATAACAGGTCTGGTTTCCACTAGTGATTCCCACACTGGTGGGGGGGCTCTGAAGGGCACACAGGGAGTCTGTAGAGACCTGCTGGATGTGATGACGGTGTACAGAGAAGTATGGAGAACACAAAGGCCAACTCCTTCAGCTCTGAGGTCTCCTTTCTAGTCTTTCGTATCTTCCAGGGACAAGGGACAGGCGGGAGCAAGAGGCCTCGCGTGTGTCAATGCGAGTGACAGTGGGAGGGGAGAAGGGGAAGGAGGAACTCGTAAAGAGATGCGAGTGATCTGAAATAGAGACGTTTCCGAGCTCCCGGGTTATACCAAACGATCAACTCGCCACGCTAAGTGTTATGATACCATTTTTGTATGTTGATGCCTGGNCAGACATTTCAGAGCTCCCGGGTTATACCAAACGATCAACTCGCCACGCTAAGTGTTATGATACCATTTTTGTATGTTGATGCCTGGAATTTTAAATGCAGCAAGACATAACGTGCTTCTTAATGTGGTAGTTTACTGCTCTGTAACAAAGTGAAAAGCCCCATATAGAGATAAACACTCAGAACAATTTTGCAGAGGTTCCCCCTCTCCCGCCCAGAAACAGTCTGATAGTGACAGCCTGGGTCTTTCAGGTGCACAGAGCAGGTGGCAGAGCTGCAACTCAGTCAAGTTGGTTCCATTTAGAAAGACTTGACATTGAGAGATTTGCTAGTAGCCCCTATCTCCCTGATTATGTACTAATTATGAGGAGCTGTATAGTTGTTATGAATGTGTGCGTGCGTGCGCACACACACACGTTTTGACTTTCCTGGCAGGTGTATACTGTGAGCGTGACTTCTGGATCAGGTTGCCTGGGCTTGAACCCTCACTTTGTCCCTATGGTCTTAATCAGACACAGATCCAGTGGTAAATGCAGACTGGATGTGCCCATTTATTCTGCCATAATTCAACCTCTTACACTAGAGAAACAACAGCAAAGAACAAGCTATATAATAGATATTATTAGCACTTCTATCTTTTTGGTTGGAAATTGTGTATATAGCCTTCAGAACACATTTGAAGAAGTACAAATTATACTTATATGTAAAAGCAAACTATCTGTTTTCTGGCTACAAAAAGACTGTTGAGATTATTGAAAGCAGGGCTTTGGGGTGTGATATTTTTGTCCCTGCTTGATTTTTTTAAAAATATGAAGTCAATAAAAAGTGCTGAATCAAGTTCTTATAATTTGTATCTAAACTTTAATTGACTTTAATTCACAGACCTGTGACCGACACTGCCTTTGATTTTTTAATTGGTAATATAAAATTCACAGAGTTGATTTTTAGTCCTACATGTTGAAATGCCCCTTGGCTGGTATCAGTTAATTAATTCAAGTTCCTTTATTTGGTAATTTTTAAGAAGTGGAATAGGGGTGAGTTAAAATTTACTATCTACAATGGAGTTTGCTGGCAAACAAATACCATAAGCATTGTAGGAGAAATTTTAGCATATCTAAGAGAATCGTAGTTTTTAAGCAATTCAGAAGCTTCCATTTATATAAAAAATTTAACATGTTCACTGAGTAGTACTTATATCTATTCATTAAAGTATAGCTAGGGACTTTTATTTGATACAATATCCTGGCAGTACTTATTCACTTTGGTATGACAGAAGATTCCAAATTTTGAAATAACAAGACTGTATTTTTATATTTATCATTTAACATTTTTATTAATTAGCACCCCCATTAGTCCAATTAATGAGACTGTTGCTAGTATATGAAGCATCGTGAGGACCAGAAGCATGAGCTTTTATATTTTACTTAATCATTAACTGACTACACTGTTCATTTTTATAGATGTTGACACATTTTTCAATTTATTTTTCTTCCTCTCACCTACCCTTAAGTTTTTCATGACTTTTACACCAGCCAGGAAAGTGGGGGTGGCGGGGGAGTAAGCCAGGCAGGATCCCACCAGGCAGTGTCCTATCAGCTATGAAAGGAAAAGGGTCTAGGTAGGCAAACAGGAGGAAGCATCTGGAAAGAATTGTAATCTTTAAAGCTAAGTTAAGGAGCTCCAATGAGCTAAAATATCTTGGCTTTGATTAACTAATTAATTAAATATCAATTTTGATTAATTCGTTATTAAGCAAATGGCATCCTTATTTTTGTCAATGATTTTGTCATCTGATGATTGGGCTCAAAAGTAAAACACCTTGGATATTTTCTACATCTCTGTTCCTTATCGCCCATACACAGTGCGTCCACCCCCTGATTTTCTTTATTTCATGGTTCATTTCCTTCATTGACAGCCATACTATTTTAGGCACCTAGCCTCTCATGGTTTTCTAACTCAGCGTCAAGCCGCTCTGAACACTGACACCAGATTAATCTTCCTGAAAGGCCACTTGAGTACGCCGCCATCTGTTCAAGATCAGGGGAGGGCTCCCCGCTGTCTGCTACCCTATCAGAGAGGAGCAACCCCTTAGAGCACGCAGGGCCTCAGCAAGCTCCCTTCCCCGCCTCTCCACCTGTATCCCTCATCATTACCAGCGTGAGTCCCCTGCGCAGATTCAAGAGGCCTGAGCCCTCTCCCAACGTGTCCTGTTTATCTCCTTCCCAGAACCCAATAACTGTACTTGCTCTCTATTCTTACTTCGTGACTGCCCCCCTTCTTCTGGTTGTTCCATTTATGCAGACTTCATTTTTTTGACCTATGTCAAATACCAACCCTTCAAGGAAACTTCCCTACCATACGCCCATCTCCCAGTGAGAGAGAGAGAGAGAAACATTGATGTGAGAGACGCACATGGATCAGCTGTCTCGGGGTTGGGAGCAAACCTGAAACCCAGGTACTGCAACCCAGGCACGTGCCCTTGACCGGAAATCGAACCCATGACCCTTGGGTGCACAGGCTGATGCTCCAACCACTGAGCCACACTGGCCATGGCTGTTCCATATGTCTTCTGTTTCCGCCACTAGACTGTGAGCTCCGAGAGCATGGCCTTCCGCTTCTACTACTATTTGTCAGAGTGTTAAGCAATCAGTTAACATCAATTTAATAAAGATAAACATCATATAAAACTCCAACAGTGCATTTTACATGCATGGCCCATGAAGGAAATAGATGCAGGAGCACAAGTGTAGTCACCACACGTGCAGAGGAGAGGGTCGAGGGGAGTCATGAGAGGAGGATTCCCATGAGTATCACCGCCAGGCACCCCGAGTTAGTGCATAAGGAGCTCATTTTATAAAGTACGTTAATAATAATGTAGCTCGAACCGCATAGATTTTTTTCCCCCAGAGGAAGAGATTATAGTGCAAATTAATTTGTCAAGTGATTATGAAATAAATCTAGCATTTTGAATAGCCGGGAAATGACCCCCTTCTTCTGGTTGTTCCATAGAAACGTAGGCATTTGGACGATTAAAAACGGGCTGTGGTGCAGTGGAAAGAACACGCTTTTTGCAGTGGGTCACATCTCTGCTCCCCACTTCTTAGTTCTGTGCCTTGGGGAAGACAGGCAGCCTCCCTGCGCCTCAGAGGCCTCACGTGTGACCCCGAGGACTGAGGCGTGGCTCTGCAGCGGCACGTGTGCAGAAGCTGGCACGTGCCTGGCATGCAACAGGCCAGCTGTTAAAAGGTAGCTGCTTAGATCCTTGGTTCTGTACTGCCTCTGGCAAGCTCACATTTAGTTGGAGAGCAAGCCCGTGGGTCTTTCCTCTTTCCTCCAGTTACCAGGGAGGCAAGGCCAGAAAACCTGTGATACTCTGCTGTGGTTTCTAACAGCAGCGTTTCGCATGCTCAGTACTTGGGAGAAGTTTCGCGTTAACATCAGCACGTGACTGAGCTACCGCCTGATGGTTGCAGATCAATAGGGGATCTGGAGAAAAGGTCATGGGACCATGCCTGGTCACGCTGAGATGTGATCGCTACACATTTTCAGTAGAGCTCTGGCTTATTTCCTAGTTGTCAACCTCTACACAATAGTTTAAATGGGTTACGTGGACTTATCCACCCCAAGGATCGCACATAAATTACTGCAAATGTTTCCACCCGATGCTTTTCGCTAGTCTTATTTTAAGACATGTTTTTGTCCCTGTTCTGCTGCCTGGAGGAAAGTTTTCAGTCGCAAGTGTCCACGTATGAGCTCTTCCCACATCTTCTCCAGCTAAGTGTCCCCAGCAAACAACCCAAGAAACTTCTGAGCCTGTGTTTGCTTCCACTATATCCATCCTGGGCTTCGAAGAAAGTCTTTTCCTCCATGAGTACGTCAACGAAAACATGACTTCTTCAAACTGGGCTCTGGCAACTCTCTCAAGTTAGGGAAATACAAACTACGGCCGTGATGCAGGTACCAGGTTAGTAAGGCTAAGCCTTAGCGCCCCTTGCTTGTATGACTTCCTTCCAAGCCCAGGGACGGCTCTGGCAACAGGCCCACACGGTCTTCTGCTTTTAAGAACTTGCCAAAGTAAAATATTTTAAGATTCTTTTTCTTGAAAAGAGTCCCCTACACTGAATAAGCTTTCGGCCTAATAAACCAGGATGGGCCCTGGCTGTGGGTCAAGCAAACTCTCCTTACACTCTCCTACTGTGCTTCCCTATTTTGTTCTTTCAGTGTGGCTTAGACGATGTGAGTCAGTAGCTGAAGTTTAGATATTTTTTTTTGTTATATGAAGATGTTCATTACAGTAATTTTTGGTAACAAAATTTATTTAATTAATCAACCTGAAAATACTTTTCAGATTACTTTGCAGAATATAATTTGCAATATATCGCATAATGCTAGTTCATCAAGCAGTTTTAATGCCTTCGACGGTGTGTGACACTGAGTTTCCTCTCTCAGGATGAGATGTTCTTAGAAAATGAAGTCAGAGCATCACATTGAAATGTAAAAAGAAGATTTGAAATATATAATAACCTTTACGCAAGATGCTTACCTATGTCTAAAATCTTTATTTCTTGGTGGAAGCAGATAAAAGAGGTGAAGAAAAAACAGTTAGAAATGGTTTCTAAAATATAATGAGTTGAATGCTGAGATTTTAATTATTTGGATGGAAAATTGCCAACTTAAGCAGAAATAACATGGAAATAAATTTTGTAGGTCAAGGCCTATCAAATAAATTACAGAACAGAATGATTTTGATAATCACACTTGAACAGAGCAAAGACAACAATTTCTTACTTTAACTATTGACCTTATGGCTAATAATGTAGGAAAATAATTGTAGGAAATAATTTATGCCTTAATTTCAACCACTGTGAAATACAAGAGTAACTACATATATCACAAAGTTATTCTAAAGACAACTAAAGAGATTTAAAAATCATCATTCTCTCCTGTGAATAGAAAATTCACTGGATTCACCAGTGAGACCTTTCATATATTAGGTGACTTTATACCTGTTTATGTATTTACGGCAAAATATATACACGTTGTGCTTTTCCTAACTTTAACCAAGAATCCAAATCCTTTCTAGAGAAAATCTGAAACATTGGGAAGGCACATTTAAATAAATAAATTAGGACATTAAATTTAATACACATATATTTTTACAAAGGCATGTTTAGCTTTCATTAAAATCCCAAACAAAGGAAAAACATACCTTAGTTCTAGAACACTGGTTACGTTTCCGGAAGGGAATATCCGGCGAACATAGTTGAAATCCCCCACATACAGGCTGCCGTCGATCCCACAAGCCAATGCCACCGGGGCCAACAGTTTATTACCATCCGCCTGACCGTTGCAGCTCGGGCACGAGATGCTGCGCCTCCGTCCGTTGCCCATGATGCTGCTGACAACTGGGGGCTGCTGGGAGATGAACTGGTTTTCCCCGTTTCCCTTGTACAGTATACCTAGAAGAAATAAAACGCATTGTTCTTACAACCAAAAGTGCAGAGATGAAAGCAAAGAGGCTCATATAAATCTAACTATAATCCAGTGCCATTAGGTTGGGATTGGAAAAACTTTTACTTAAAGTTCTATTGGAAAGAACTCCATTCAGTTACCTCGGGTACAATATCATATTACAAAAGACACAGGATATACATGAAACAATGCTGTCTACTGGAAATTTAAAGAATGTCTGGTGAAAGAAACAAAGGACTAACAAGAAAAAGGAAAAACCCGAATTCTCAGTATCAGTGATTCTCAAACTTGGCTACACATTGGCACTGACTGGGGAGCCGTTAAAATACAAATGCTTGGATCTCACCCAGGAGATTCTGATTTAGTTGGTGTGGGTGTAGCCTTGGCATTGAGATTTTAGAAAACTACAGAAAATCCTAAGGTGCAACCAAGTTTGAGACCCATGTTCTACAGAATGTCCTTTAGGGGGTAACAAGTTTACCTAATGGTGAAATGATGTTGAAAATATTATGTTGAACCAATTATTAAATATGTGCACCATAATATGAATTTCTTCCTTTAGAGTTTATCATTGGTATGTATGTATGTATGTATTTATTTATATTTATTTCATTTTTTAAGAGGTAGGGAGGGAGAGGGAGAGAGAAACATGGATTTGCTGTTCCACTTATTTCTGCATCACTGGCTGATTCTTATACGTGCCCTGACCAGGGACTGAACTTGCAACCTTAGTGTATCAGAATGATGTTCTAACCATCTGAGCTATCTAGCCAGGCAGGACCCATCACTGGTCTTTTAAAGTTAAAAATACTTTATGGAAAACAAAGTCAAAAAGTGTATAGCGAACCTCCAATGTTCTAGTACACTGTCAAAGAATATTCTTCGTGTTTATCCTCCTGTCTGATACAGGAAGGCATACACCTACAGTTATTCAAAATTTCAAACAAAGCTGTTGTGGAAGGGAAATTTATTGTTTAAAGTGGATTCTCCTTTACGTATGAAAATGCCAATAATTTTAAGAAGACAAAATGCCGATCTGCTCCTTTATGGTCTTCAACGAAAATCTGAGAAAAAGTCCCAAGTGACTATTAAATATTTTCGTAGTTAGAAAGTAGATTTGAGTTGAGCTTCTAATTTTATTGATTTAGCATGATTCTATATAAATCAAGGGTTCCACTTCTGTCCGAGGCACAGTGCATGGCCAGCTGTCCTTGCTCCGTACACATTTCACGGCCCTTCTCAACCTGTCATCTGTATAAACCACCTGCTGCTCTGACTTTGGAGCTGTACATATTATACTCACTGAATGTTATATACATTGCGATGCGGTTCTCCAAGCCAACACTTAGATTTTTTAGCAGACAAACTAAGAATCCATCCCATGAAAGTACAAACAGGAAACTTGAGTGTTTTTTTCCCCCTCCCACTCTTGGATAATTTTAAAGTGGAGATAAAAATAATTATGTTCCCCTTATAGCTCAGCACATTTTAAAGGTGGGTTCTAGGATTACTTTTTTAATGCTTTGCTACTTGGGTGATGTAACAATCATAGCACATTTACATAAGGGAAGCAGGAAAGAGAAAACAGGCTTATTCATATTTAAGAAAAAGTAATCTAAATAAGACTATATCATAACAACAGATAAAATGCATTTTGCTTTTGATATTCAAAGAACATGAATGATACCTAAGATCCTTCTTTCTGTGCTTATGTTATTTGACAATTACAGAACTATAATTTCCTATAGGAGCCAGTTCTATAATTTTAATCAGAGGAATCCTAAGAGCCAGCCACGCCCTACTGCGCCCGACTAGTTCAGTCATTACCGTGAACGATTGGTCTTTCACGATTCTCTCTATTATGACAGAACAGAAAGATGAACATCAGAATATTTATTTCCATGTTCCAGGGAGCCTGCACGAGCTCCTGTCACTGTCTACAGTTTTGCCTTCCTTTCTTCCTTAATATATTGTCATAGCTCATCCACCCTGTCATGATTGCAAATAACTTTGTTTATTCAATTAGACACATGTCACTTTGAAAAGCCACTGCTTGTCAAATTGTTCTGGGATAAAATCTCAAATCACGTTCAGTTCGCTCCACAAATAGGTTACCTCGCATTTCAAAATAACATGTATTTTATAATTTATAACATTTTTTTTCTGGAGGACAGACTTTTTGAGTAGTCTACTTTTTTCATCTGAGCTGATACATTATTCTGGTAGAGTGTGTGCGTGCATTTGTATCATACATACATATACAGAATATCTATGAGTTTCTCAATCCACCGAATACTATCCTGAGCGTGGGCTACCACAACGGTGTTGGATTCCAGAGGGATGGGCTTTCCCAGAGCTCTTGGCTTGTAGTCTCCCTAGTAGTTCATAATCTCTTGGGGGAAATTCCGGGGCTAAATGGTTATTACCTTCACCCTACATTCTCCTAATACCTAAAGTATATCCATAGAGCTTTCCACTAGTTTTGCTTATAAAGAACTTCTGAAGGTCCATAGCAGTATGTCAGATTGTGTGAAATAGAATTTAAATAATTTCATCAAGAGCAGCTACCAGCATGGCTGGCACGTGGCTTTGCACTCTGAAAGACCACAAGGAAGCCTGTGTTACTGACACACACGGAAGCCACCGCTGCTCAGACACCGTGAGGATGAGACAGAACACAGGCAGCACCCTGCTTGGTCGGGAGTCTCACTCCCTTCAAAGTGTGTGCTCCACCGGGCACTAGTTATAGGCTCTGCTCCCAAACCTCGGGGTTGCAAACTGAACTACAAGTTCATGTCCAGGACACAGTCAGAAAGGGAGTAGAGCTAGTGCTGCTGCACAAGAGGAAAGGTGTGAAGGGCTTTTCTCGTCTGTTTTTCCCACTGATCCGCTCGGTCCTGTTCTCTTCTGGAGGTAAGGTATCAAACAGCATGTTCAAGCACCGCCTTGGACACTGCTTTAGACTGAGTATATTTGGAGTTTAAAATGCATCCTCTCCAAATTGAATAACACAGAGGGAAGGGGTGAGGGACAGACAGGAAGAAATTAACCAAGGAACTTACATGCATATATGCATAACCTACTGACACAGGCAATAGTGTGGTGAAGGCCTGGGGGGAGGGGAGTGGGNAAACATCACATGATCTTACTCATATGTGGAATATAATGAACAAAATAAACTGATGAACAAAATAGATCCAGAGACAGAGAAGCATGGAAAAGGCTGAGGAATCTCAAGGGGGAGTGGGAGGAAGTGGGTGGGGAAGACTAACCAAAGAACACATATGCATTTACACATAATCCATGGACGCAGGCATCTGTATGGGGAAGGCTGGGGAGGGTGGATAGAGAGTGGAGGGGATCAAAGGGGGGAAAGGGGGACATCTGTAATACTCTGAACAATAAAGACAAATAAAAAAATGAATATCAAAGCAACATTAATCTGAAAAAGTGACCATTAATCATAGTCAAATATTTAGTCCTACTGAATGCAAAATTCAACATCTGAATTGTCCAAAAACCTCTGCAAAGTCAAAGCTAAAGCTAGATTATTTCATCAAAACTGAAATCTCCTTCTCTGGCTATTTGTAAAAGGAGAGTAGAGTTACCAGCACGATACGCTTCAGGACAGGATCTAGATTAAGTTACCTTAAGGTTCTGCTTTTCTAGCAAAGTCCTCATAAATTATCTGAGCTGTTGCCAGTATGTGCCCAAAATGTAAAGACAATGGGAATTGCTTAGTATAAATTATATTCTTTATGAGATTAAGCTGGTCAAATTTTGTAAGTAATTTATTTCTTTTGGTTTGTGATGGCTAAAATATGTTTTTTCAGAACACATTCGCTTATATTTTATATAAAGTCAACCACAAGTTTTATTCTGGATTCTTGCTTTTTTCTCAGATTTTTCATTTCCCCCCCCAATATTTGAAAAGCCAATTAACAATATTATGTAACCCAATTTGAGTGTAAGAATATTTTTTTCTCAAATACACTCTAAGAAGAAGTGAAAAACAATCGAGATACTCAACAGACTAATTACCTAAGGGTTAAGATCTGTTAGAAATATTCTGGTAAAATAACATGGATTTTTATTTTTTCTTTACTTAAAAAAAAAAATTCCCCTCCCTTTACTTTGGGTAAACCTTCTGAAAGCATTTGGGTCAACTCATTAACTCCCAGTAGAGTCAGACACTCCTGGGCCAATCCGTGGCGAAGATGCCTTTCAATGCGGCACCAGAGCCAGTCCCTTACATTCTAATGGGTAAACGATTTTCGTGATGAACATGTGAACATTTGTGAGGAGAGTGCCATGTAGTCCCTGCTTCAGGCTTTTATAGGCTTTAAAAGTACAGTTGAGCCTTGAACATGGGCTTGAAATGTGTGGGTCCACTGATACATGGATTTTTTTTCAATAATTTGTATAGTACTGTAAATGTATTATGCTTTTTTTTTTTTAAAAAAGAGTAGATCATTTTAAAAAAAATAATTTTTAATTGATTGTTTTAGAGAGAGAGGAAAGGAGAGGAAGAAAGAGAGAGAAACACAGATGTGAGCGTGAAACATTGATCGGCTGCCTCCTGCACACCCCCTGCTGGGGATCAAGCCCAAAACCCAAGCATGTGCCCTGACTGGCAATCGAACTGGCAACCTCTCAGTGCACAGGATGGCGCCCAAGCAGCTGAGCCACACCGGCCAGGGCCCTTATGATTTTCTTAATAAGATTTTCTTTTCTCTAGCTGACTTTATTGTAAGAACACAGTATATAATACATATACAATGCAACATACATGTTAATTGACTGTTTAGGTCATCGGTAAGGCTTCTGGTGAACAGTAGGCTATTAGTAGTTGAGTTTTGGGGGAGTCAGAAGTTATATGCCGACTTTGTGCAGGGGGTCGGCGCCCCTAATCTCCGTGTTGTTCAAGGTCAATTGTGTAGCCTTATTTTTTCCTATTAATTCTAAGCCTATCGCACATAGAATAAAATGTTGCCGCTGTCTAGTCAGTTTGAAGGTGAGCAATATTAACTTTCTGTGAATAAGGTCTTACCGTTCTGAATGTCCAGCACATGATGCTTATCCAGTGTCCAGCCACCCATGTTGGAGGCATCTAGCTCACACCCTTGCAGAATGGCAGTCCTCTTCTCCCACAGGGTCAGGTCCAAACACGACTCGTATTCATAGCCCACTGACACTGCAATCGAGACAAAGCACAGTCCACCGGGTCAACTACAGCAGAAATACAATTCACCTCACCAACTGATAGATAAAACTGCTTTCTCACAGTTGTGTTCTGAGATGACATCTCCATTTGTTTATGGGTAGAGTTATTTTTTTTATATGAGAAGATTTGATCACATAAAATATGTTTTTCTAAAAAAAAATTATCTTCAAATATTTTTATAATGACTTAATAGAAAACTAGTATTTTTTTTTTTTTTTTTTTCTGCACTACTCTTTACAAGGGGTTTAGAGCACAAAATGAAGTTCAGGTTGGGCAACTGCTTAAGTAATTAGATCAGATAAATCAGTCCCAAATGGTGATCAGATGATCACAACTAAAAATCCTATTTCCTATCTGAATTATTAGAGCTATTTAGTTTCCAAAAGTATTAAGTTATAGAAAACATTTACAATAAGTAAGATTCAATACAGCAAAAAGATATTCATGTTATGACATATATTATGACATTATATTCATGTTATCAGGAATGAACAGTAAAATGAACAGTAAATTAACATGAACAAGTCACAACAGAAAAACCTTAGAGTTCACAATGAAACATGGATTTTAAAATTTAAAACAAAGAGAAGGGAGACATGGCGATTATCTGATTGATTTGAATTAATTCAAGTCCAAATTATATATTAATTCCTAATACAATGTTTGTTTTATGAAAAACTCATAGAACAAAGGACATAGTTAGCCATAGTTTTCGCTGCTCTGAGCCTGAGTCTGACACTATTCCATGTATTTCTCAACATGTCAAACTGTGATTACACTGCCTAGTCACCCAGTGAAACGACTGGTTTGAGTGATGTTTAAGAATATCCTTTCCTTGACGTGATGGGTCCTTCTAGTCAAAAAAGCTAAAGAATTTTTAGGCACAAATGTTGTCTGATGTCCTGTTAAACATCACTATGAATCAAAATGACACTAGTTACTAGATACAGAAAGACATAAAAAAAGATAAGGAAAGCTAGGAAGATAAAATTATAAAGAAAACAAGAAAATAAAAAAAGGAAGGGACACGACAAAGGAAATACATGAAAAGAAAATGACAACCTGAAATCTCATCCAGAACATTCTTCTAAGGTATCACTTCAGAAAGAAAAAAATGATCTTTTGTCCCCTTGCATGGAAAACATTCCTTTTTCCTGCGGTGTATCTGAACCAACCAGTGGGTGACTTCTCTATGACAATCCTACTGCCTTTCTACCTGTTCATCCATTAGTTTCCATGGGTTATCAATTATATTTAAGTTAGTTCTGAATCAAGACACTTTTTTTAAAAATGCAGAATATATTTATTTACATGGAACTTACCAACAGCCTCAGATAGACCGTAGACCTTCTGATTGTACGCGTCTGTTTTATCCCATATAAAAGTATAGGCCAAGTTTGGGGAGGCAGGAAACCACTTCTGAAAGAGCCTTCCTACTACAGCGACCATGAGGTGAACCTTCATCAGGTTAAACGGAATAACGGACTGGGTCATGGTGATCTTGAGAACTGACTTGTAGCCGGCAGCTCTGGAACTCAGGTAGGAAAGTTTCAGGTCTGTTCCGGGAATCGTGGTTTCTTCGTGGAGCACCTAGGTTTGAACAAAGTGAAAGCTCCGCTGTGGTCCCGGACAACAATGAGATACAATGTATCCAAAGAGCCCTGCTCCTAAAGCTCCGCTGGGGTCACGGATAATGATGAGATACAATGTATCCAGAGGGCCCCTGCTCCTAAACACCCACCTCCTTCAACAGCTGAAACACTGCGCAAGCCCATTCTGCTCCTCCCACAAGCTTCTCTCTCTTCTCTTTACATATTTTTATTGATTTTTTTTTAGAGATAGAGAAACAGTGATGAGAGAAACATCAATCAGCTGCCTCCTGAACTCCCCCTACTGGGCTTCAGGCCCGAAACCGGGGCCTGTGCCCCGACTGGAATGGAAGCAGTGGCCTCAGTGCCCAGGACGACTCTCAACCAACTGAGCCACAGCGGCCGGGCGCTACGGGCTTCCTGTCATTCCTGCCGAGTCGCTCACGCCTCGGGCGCTGCTCCTCATACAGGAGCCACTGTGACTGCCCTGCAGCTGACACGCGCTGGCTTGCTGGCTGACAGTCACAGGGGCGTCTCGCTAGCCCATCCTTCGCCCCCGCTGCCCTGGAGAACGGGAGCAGACGTGCCTCAGATGCTTGGCTCGGAACAGGGATGGGGCCTAGGCACAGAGCTGGCCTCGGCCGGCTGGCTCAATTAGGGGTTCAACCTCTGCTGTGGCCACATTCCCTGGCCGGGCGCAGCCTACAAAGGCAGGAATGACAAAAAAGGCCAGTTCACCTTGTTTCAATTGTAGCACATTCCACATCCCTGTCGAAAGGTAATATAATAATAAGACAGTCTCATGATTAGTTAAACACTGAGCTAGGACTCAGCACTGATTGTTGATATGACGGTAAATGAATTAAGAGTTAAAAGCCACGTAAACCACCCCCAACCCTGTGAACAACTAATGTGTCATTGAATGCACACAGTACCCTCAATAGGTACTTTCTGAATTGAAACTGGACTGTAAAAAGTTAATATAATTACCTGCTAAGAATGATCTACTTTATACATTTAAAAAAAATCATGTTCTTAATCCTGCAGTTTACCCATCGATGTGACTAGCTCAATGAATGCCAACAAATTTACACTGACGTATGCGAAATACATTATGTGAAAACAGTACTTAGTTATTTTGAAAGATGTATTTTACCTGGTATATAAAAGTCTTCCTCAACAGTCCAGATTCCCCTTGCTAACGCCCCTATTAGTTCGGTTAATAACGGCAGCTCTGCAACGACTTACTACATACACTGCAAAGTACAGGGCTCTCTATGTTCCAGAACCTGTGCAGAAACCACCACCTTCCCGGCCGAGAATTACACAGCGTTCCCAGGGGCTTCCTCACACTGCCCTACCACGCTTCACTATGCAGACATAAAGGGCTGCCTTTTCACGTTAGAAAATCTTAGAATACAGATCCAGTGCTCAGAAGTGTTTCTCTCCCCCAACTCCTCTCACAAAGAACACAGGACTGATATACATCCGCCATCTCCAAATTTTAACAACGTAAGTGGAACCCTAGATGCTGAGGGGGCAGCTGTCCGTGTCGATGGGGACAATGAAATGGCTGGAAGTAGCACAAGGAATGAACTAAACAAGCTTCCATTCCGGTGTGTGATCCGTGTTGGCATGAAAAGGGACATGACAATGCTCTATAATAGATTAAGAAGGCACTGCTATAACTTTAATAGATATGCCAATTTATTACAGTCAGGGTTTCTTTACCAAACACATTGACTAAGTTCAGACACAGAATGTCTTAAGCAAAAACATTTTGAACATAATGAAACTTTTCAGAGCTCTATGAGACTCGGGGAGACCGCTGCATTTAAGATTGACGGTACTTTTGCTGGACTGTAGGGTGAACAAGCTGAACAGAATGCACTGCTCTCCCATCACGGGGGGGAAATGTCAGTGGGTTAGTTAGAGAATCAGATTCTGTGGCTCCTGAATGGCCCTGAAAATACAAGTCATTGAAACCAAAAGATACACTTTATTTCCTCTTAATTTATTTTCAAAATAATTCCTCATAAATGTGACAGGTTTTCTGCATGTAAGCCAATCTTTCGTTAATGTGTTTCCTGTGACCTTCTGGGAATTGCTTCTCTATTTCAAAATATCATGTTATCCTAATTTTAATAACCGATCATTGTCTTTGTCATCATTAACCTTACTTGTGTGGAACACATACCTGTAATTTAGTTCATTGAAACGTGCGTTTCTCCTCTGTCATTTAACTTGGCCACGTTAGTTTGCATTAGTGGGAAAAGTCAATCCAGCCAGAGGGGAAACATAGACCATTCAGCCTATTTTTTGGCAGCTGCCTGATCTGAAAGCCCCATTCTGGACCCCATTAAGCATTCAGTTACAAGCTGGATCCTGCCAATTTTACCGTCCAAATCTCTGTCTAATCCATTCCCTCTTCTCCGTTTCCACCACCGTTGTGATTGTTGGGCCCTGTCCATCTGTGCGCTGGATGTGCACAGAGCTACAGTGAACCCCAGCCTGTTCACCCATCTCTCTGTCACTTAGTTAGCTTTAGAGAAAAGCTGAAAAGACTTCGTTGGTCCCCTGGTTCTCTATTGCCTAAAGAACTCCAGGTCTCCACTGTATGGTATTTCAGGGCCTTTCACAGTCTGGCCTCACTCTTTCCCCTTACATGCCCTACATTTAAACTGCTCACCAGTAGGACGCATGTCTTAATGCTTTTTATCCTAGTGAAGTACCTTGTACATAATACTCTCTCAGTAGATTTTGCTAAATGTTCGATGTCTATATGATGGAATGGAAAAATACATACCTTCATGTCTTCCTAGAACTGCTGGCTATTTGAAACCTATTTCAATGACCTGCTTTGCTAGAAATCTGTCACCTATAGACAGACACTGCCTCTAGGTTAAGTCTATTTTAGGACTGGCTAAGGAGTTGTTATTGCAAGGTGGACCCTGGGGAGGAAGGGCTAAACTGGACAGGTGACGATGAATTTCTTAAAGCTTTGGCTCAAAGTCTGCCTGACTGCAGTAACTCAGTGAGGTGTCTCGTCTGCATCACATTCGCCTGTGAGCATTCTCTGTTCTCTTAGGCCTTCTTGGCTCACCTCCTCTCATCTCTATCTATATTCCCTCTTCCTATGCTTTAAGTATAACACTGATGACTCCCAAATTCACATCTTTAAGTCCACCCTCTTCCCTGGGCTCCACTCTTACACAGCTAGCAGTCACCACCTTGACCAAGCACCTCTGCCCAGGCCACCACCATTTCTTCTGTGGCTGCCTCCTGACGGGGCCCCGTGTTCCCATCTCCAATGGCTTCTTACTTAAAGTAAGAACTTCTTACTTTAAGTAAGAAGTTCTTACCATGATCTTCAATGCCTTGTGATTTGTGTACCATGACCGTCACCCCGGCCACACCTGCTGGCTCTTGGCCGTTCCGTGAACATGCAAAGCGAGCTGTTCCTTCAGAGCACTTGAACTTGCTCTTTGCTCTGCCTGGAATTCTATTCCTAAGGTTCATTCTTTCACTTAAAGTTTCTGCTGAAATACCATGTTATCAAAGAGATCTTCCCAAACCACACTTTATAAAATTGCCCTCCATCCAGTTACCGTACTTTATTCTTTGGAAGTAAGTCTCAATCACAACCTGACATGTATTTATACATTCGCTGTTTCTCTCTCCCTATTAGTAAACCCCTTGAGAGCAGGCACTTCATCCGACTGGTTTTCTGATTTGTTCCACTCTAATGGTGCCTGGCGCAGAACAGGTATTCCGTAAATATTTGAAGAACAAGTGTGACAAAGCTGCTGTGCGCTGCTGTACTTTGTATTTTTCCTTAGGTATTTATGAATAAAGTCCATCATTATATATGGTACCAAATGTCCTGCCTTTAAGATCTGAATGTATTTCTAATTGGAAACATATAGGAAAGCAAGCAATGCCCAGATAGTTCAGTAGATAAAATAGTGAAAATATGGTTGTTTTAAAGAAAATAAGTTACTGAGAGAAATGACCTTGTACAAGGCATTCAGGAGGGAGGTACCTACAGGCACTAACGTCTTTTTCCAACAAAAGAATGAATACATGAGCGAAGATATTATTAGCTGTTGCGTTTAAGCTATTTTTCCATCTGGCTACAACTAATAAATATATACAGATGTAGCCTGAAGAAAAAGTATTTTGAATAGGCCTTTAAGAAATAACCAGGTATCTCACTATAACGAGACCTATTAGTGCGTGCACGTGTGTGTGCACACACATTCACACGTGCACACGCACACGCACACACACACACGACATTCGACCGTCCACTCTGTGGAATGATTCAGGACAGCACTGGAATTCTGCGACCCTTCCTGAATAGCTTTTGGAAGTCGCATGATCTAAATACGGTTTACTTAACAGGACTGCCTGCCCCCATCTCCCACCTGTGTCTCAGGAATGATGGGACTGTCCTCCGGAGAAGATCTGAAAAAGGTGGACAGAGGCGATGACACAATGATCGGGTTTGGCCTCACGAAGCCGCTGAGGTCACAGCTGGGAATGTCATTTTCTTCCTTCTTCATGACCAGGGTGTCCATCACGTAGAAGACGTTCCAGGGCACCCACACGGTGTGGTGCTGAGTGAGGAACGGGGCGCGCTCAAACACCAGGGTGAGGGAGGCCCCGCCATTTGCCACCAAGTCAAACCTGAGGAAAACAAGGTCCACTTAGCCAGTCACCTGGGTCCCAGACGACGACGACTCCCAAGTTTATTCCATTAACCTCCTGCAAGGAACACGCTCGACAAAGAAAGTCAACTTTCCCCCAGCTTTCATGTGAGATCGTTTCAGATCTACAGGAATATCAAAAGAAGTATCCAACGATCACTCATACTTTTTACTTAGATTTACCAATTTATTTACGTTTTTCCAAATCTGCTTTATTATCTACCATCCTCTCCCTTTCCAGAATCACGAGCTTCAGTTGTGCATGTTACGCAGCGTCACTCCTAAATATTTCAACAAGAATCCTCTAAGACAAAGAACGTTCTCGAATAAAACTGTAACCCTGTCGTCATGCCTGGAAAATTAAATCGAATCTTAAAGAACTATCTGGACACGTGACTCTTACGTTTCTGCACCATGTACTGTCACGGATTCCTGGAGCCTAAACGTCGCTGCATTTCTGTATTCTGAGGGGCAATAAAACATGCTGGGTGATATAAGACTCTCTAGTTCTTACACTTCAGATACTTCGGACAGAGACAGTGCGCTGGGACTAACTCACATTCCATCCTGCCGGGTGATGGTATATCCATACTCCGGGTAATGGAAAAACGAGACATTCACTCCAATCAGTGGAGTTCCATCCGCAGTCAGGACTTGGCCTCTGATGACGGATGCGAGGCTGTGGGAAACGCAGAAGAACAGGAATGAGAATTTGTCTTCTCAGGCCAACACACGCATGATTTAGAGACGATCCAACCTCAGGATAAAATAACAGCATCACACGCAACCATTATTCACAAAACCCAGACCCAAACTACTCCCAAGACAGTGTCCCGTTTAATTCCGTGGAATTCACATTCTCTAAACGCCTCGTGTTCTACCCTGGGTTTTAATTCGCTGCAATCTGGGTTTGGAGACTTACCCAAACCAATAATTCAGAGATGAATTTTAAAATGATAAACTGTTCTTTTTTCCCTAAGTCCTACGTCTGGTGCTTCTACGAAGAAAAGTATACTTTCCAATTAATTCTGAGGCAATCTGCAAATCTGCAGGGACCGAGAGGCACAAGATTTAAGGGGGCAATAAGGAACATTTGTGTGACAACTTTTAATCAACTGCTGGGTCTAACAGCATTAATGCTGGGAAACTGCTGCAGACCCAGGAGTTCCAGAGTAAATCATCTCCTTTGCTCAGCGAGACGCGAGACACCTGCTTTCACTTACTGGTTTAGTCTCAGGTCATTACCACTCTGCAAAGCACCAGTCACGCGGCTTATGCAATCTGACCACCTTGCCGTTAGCAGTTCCATTTCATTCATTCATAATTTATATTATTTAGTGAGCTCAGCTAAAAAAAAAAAAAAAAGTGCACGTCTCTTTTGCTTTTTGGGGCCTTTTCATAGCTTCTTTGGAAACATTCCCAACTGTGCTAACTAGTTAAATGAAGATTTACTGACTCCTTAATGGGATGTTCTGTTACGTCGCAGGCACTGAAGTTGACCAAGTACGTGAACTGTGTCAAAAATGCTTGAAATGCGAAGTTGGGTGAGGAATTTGATGAAAGAGAAACTAACTGTCTTAAAAAAAAACCACTTTCCTCATATTCACAGTCATCAGCATTTCGTGTAACTGTTGATATCACTGAGAATCTATATCAGGCCCTGGCTAGTGTTGCTCAGTGGTTAGAGCATCAACCCGCCAACCAGAGGGTCTCGAGTTCGATTCCCGATCAAGGGCATGTACCTTGGTTGCAGGTTCTGTCCCCAGTCCCATTCAGGGGGCACACTGGAAGCAACCAATCAATGTTTCTCACATCGATGTTTCTCTCTCTCTCTTTCCTTCCTCCCTCTTTCCCCCTCCCTTCCACTCTAAAAAAAAAAAAAAAAAAAAAAA